ACCTCCACACGTCCCTCTCTGTTGCTGTAGCCTCCAACTAAACGAACTGGGACGGCTGCAATAAGAATAATTTTTATCAAACTATTTTAAGACAATCCTTGCCATAACCAAAGTTATAAGTATATGGACTTCGTTAATTATGGTGTCTATATCATTGATTTGATACGCCCAATAACTAAGGTATATAATAAACCTGTACATACTTGGTGTTACCGATTCTGTTGTGGGGCTTTCGGTAGTTGGCCACCCTGGAGTTGAAAACAATGATATATATCATTTGACAAACATTGGATTGCATCAGCATGAAAGTATCTTTTCAGGTTTGCTGTTTTTCAGGGACGGTTTTATCAAAGGTTTCCTGACACTATTTACCTTTACATGCGTTAATATCGACACTGATGGCAACAACTTACACGATGCACCTTCTCATACGAATTATGCGTTACACATAAGTAAATATGATGTGATGTGATATGAATTATGAAACTCGGCATACCGTAATATTCACATCTCTTCCCGTATCTATCCCATGGACATGTACAGTTGTAGTCCACAAAGTTATAAGGCCAGTAATAAGATCTTTGAGGGACACATGTACCTCCACTGTAACATGGATTGTTCGAGCAAGGGTCTGCTGGAAGAATTGAAACACATAAGTTTAACACATTTGAATAAGCAATTAAGAGCCTCTTAAAAATCCACAAAACAAGCACACAATCAGCATTCAAACCTTTCGAACTGATGTAATTAAACGAACCGGAACAATCAGTGAGAGCAGTTTGCCTTAACATAAATTTCACATCTTATCAATGTCCCTACAACACATAGACAGTATTATATCAAGCACCCCACCCTCATCCCTCATCAAGGCACCGAGTACCTTCAGGAAATCCCCCTTCCCTCAACGAAATGAAGTTTACGGCTATGTACTTGAAAGATAGAACATGCATTTTTACATGTACAATATCTAAATACTTAGAATGATTATGGTATATTGCAATTAACTTGAACATACTCAGTGGAGGCGCCGTTGCTTTTGTAGTGCTTTCTGTAGTTGGCCAACCTTGAATAAAATGCGGGATATATAAATTGCTATAAGCGACCGACAAAAAACATTGATATAAAATGATAATAAAAAAAGAAAAAAAAAACATAATATGTTATAATTAACGGAGGTTTCGTATGTAAAACTCGTCTGTTGACAGGTTTGTCATTTTTCAAGGATTTAGCCTTTCTTTTATCTGTATCGTTTTTTTCTGTATTAGCATACTGATACATAGCACTGGTATAAAAGTAGCACAGTAGCACAATATTATCCCTATCTGTTACCGTGGTGTCCAATGTTCAAAAACAGTTCTTCAATACTGCAAGTTTTAGGCAAGCATATTTATCATTATTATAAATATATTACATTAGTTATTAAAGCGTTGCTTCAACATTTAGAAATAAGTGAAAACTGAAGTACAATTACAAACTGAACAAGAATAATGGGGTCAAGGTAAAAAATTATAAAGAGAGAGAGAGAGAGAGGGAGAGAGAGAACACAAAGTCAGGCAAATACAGTGTACCCTCGTAACAAATGTCTAACCCGGTAGCATTTCACAAGTTAAAAATCAGAAACGTTAAGTTCACTTACTCGTAGTGTAATTGTAGTTGGTACAGGAACGTCTGTATGAAAAGCCACAAGATACTCCGACGTCCTCGCTATGTGAGCAGTGGGTGTTACCCCAGCCGTATCCCTTATAGCACTGAGCTAGGGATGATTCGGTCCCTTGACAGTGCAGATGATTCAGCCATATCTTGCCGCTACCTTCACCAAAGCAGGCGCCGCCATAAGCCTTGGCGTAGCGGTCACTAGAGCGGGATGGATACAAGTATTGGTTAATCAAAGTGATGTTATTTTATTATAAGACGACGCGGTATTTCATAATGGTGAATCTTAAAAATGTTCAAGTTCTACACAATGAGCTGAATGAGTATCTGAGAGCTTTCTCTCCAACACATTTCAACTCAACTGAACAGCTTTTAATTCAATAATTATAAGTTACACTACAACACATGTTAACATTCATCAGAAAGAAGCGATTGGCCGATTGTTGGATAACAAGAACAGAGACATTAACGATGCTTCAGATGTAAAAAAAAAAAATACCCGTGTCCAAGCATGCGGCATACAACTCGAGCATCATTATCATCAAAATCGTGGTCACATATTGTTCCCCAGCGTCCATCGTAGTAGACCATTACTCGCCCTTCACGATAACTGTTTCCACCAACTAAACGCACTCCTGTAAGACAAAGGAAATAGAAATGGAATGCAATATGCCAGGAGATATTAAATGGTATGCTCACAGTCTTGCTGGAAAGTTAGCATATAGTGATTAAAATAAAACATGTGATACAATATTTAAGTAAATATATAAATAATATAAAAATAAATAAATAAATAAATAAAAATGGTCGATTTACTCACTGACATATACTTCTGTCGTCATATTGGGGATTTCTGTTGTTTCTGAAAAAGTGTAATAAATATAAAAAAAATCAATTTCGTATATTACAATTTGTGCAATTACTTGTTGCTATCAGCAGAGCATCTTTCCTTTTTACCAAAGTCAGCATACATACATTTACTCGCATCATGATTTCACGTCATATAAGCGCCTCTGGAGTACTGTGCCAAAACATTCAGAAACAGTTTGCAAAAAAAGGTGTTGTACTCGTCCATCTGGGAAAATTCAATACTGAATCAATATAAAAAAATTCTACGAATTCTGGAATTTATAGACACAGAATCGTATTATCGTAGCAAACACTATTGTACTGCACCAAACATATTGTACTCACGGTATCCGTAGGCGCCGTACTCGCACTTTTGCCCAGTACGGTAGTAAGGACAGTTACATCTGTAGCCAGTGTACGGCCAATAGTAACTGTTGGTACGTATACATGTACCGCCATATTGGCAGGGGTTACGGGAACAGGGGTCTGGAATTGTAGATGTTTAAATGAGGTGCAAGACATGACATTGACACAATAGTATGTTAATCTTCAGAAACTAAAACTACTGGCAGAATAGAATGGCATTTCGAGACGTGCACAGGCGATTCCCGACATATATTTTACACGTTATAATGTACTTACAAAAACTTGTACGCAGCTCATTGAACTCATGAGTGTACTTATAGCAACTTCCACACAGCTTTTTCAAAAGAAATAATACCATAATAAACGAAGACAAGTGCAACAGGAAGTGTTTACCGTATGTAGTTGTTTCCTGGGTAGCTGAACATGAAATGGAAATATAACACTATCAGAGCTCAAAAACCTACATTTTGGCTTATGGCACGATATACACGTAGTTGAATTAGTTGATTTTTTTTTTTTTTTTGAGTAAACTAATTATTTTAAAATGTTGAGGACTCATAATATTACATATAATACCACACAAAATGAACAAGCAAAAAAAAAAAAAAAAAAAAAAAAAAGCGCTCATTAGCTTGGTAGTTGGATCAAAAATGAAAATTTTCAAACTTTTTTCTTGGCTTGAGAGTTTCATCATTCTTATTTATAAACATGTACATAGTTTTACTGAATGCTTTACCAGTTGTGATTTCGTTTGTCGCCGTGGTTTCTGCTGTAGAACATAAANCATCATTCTTATTTATAAACATGCACATAGTTTTACTGAATGCTTTACCAGTTGTGATTTCGTTTGTCGCCGTGGTTTCTGCTGTAGAACATAAAAAAATACATAACAATGCTTAATAAACATTTGTTACATCGTATTGGACTACTGCTTGTTGAAAAGTGTACTGTACTCTTCGTTAAACCATATACTTTTTTTAATCTTCAACTTGTTGATTAGCCTTACAGGTGCTTTGGCACACGACAAAAAAGTATATACTTCCACCTTTCGCATTATTTTTACAAATATTATCCTGATATATTTCCTAAAGCAGACTTCAACTACAGTTTTATGTAAACTGGGGGGTATTTTGGTTCTTAAATATGTATATATTATGAAAAATAAATCGCACTTTGACAGAAAAAAAATCAACTTACGGTATCCGTAAGCGCTGTACTCGCACTTTTGCCCAGTACGGTAGTAAGGACAGTTACATCTGTAGCCAGTGTACGGCCAATAGTAACGGTTGGTACGTACACATGTACCGCCATATTGGCAGGGGTTACGGGAACAGGGGTCTGGAATGGGATCTTGGAAATTGCAGGCGGTAAAAAGTTAAGATGTCATTTTTTATTTAAGAAGTAAAGGAGTGCTGGTGAATGCAGAGGTCACTTTGAAATACGCTAGGTTTGTATCATTCATTTTCCTCAAATATATGTAAGGAGTAATATTTCATAAAAAGCGGATTAAAAAATCTTGTAAAACCATTACGTTACCATGGCAACGCTAATGAGGTTATAACAGTAAGAAGAGGTAAAAATGAAAGGCTTACCGGATGCAGTAGTCGTCTCAGTGGTTGGATTTTCAGTAGTTTGTCGGCCTAAAAACAAGCACACAAAAAACAACCACATTAGGTTTTTAATATAGATAAAATAAATAAGCATTTTAGCAACTTTTAAGGAATGTCTTAAAAGATATATTTAAAGATACATTATTAAAAAACTACATCACTATTTGTGACCAATCAGAGAAAAGGATACAATTCATAATCAGTGCAATAATGTCAAATGACAGCGATGCATGTTGCAACGTTTGATGCTATGTTGATGTTATGGAATACATTAACTTCCGTAGAAGGCTGGGTTTCAAAAATAATGTTCTGTAAATAGACAAGTAAATTAATTACTAGATATTTATCGGGTACATCAGCGCACTGCGTTGTAGAGTTTTGAAAAGTTAGCTTTTTATAACTTTTAAATTCGCATCATGTACACTGCAGCTTTTTCCCCATATTTCAGGACTGCTGCTCGGAATTTAAATGCGTAATGGATTGTAGCTAATGCATCAAAATGAATGAATTTTCAAAATCAATTAATAAAGTAGACCCAATAAGGACTATTCTTGTTTATTACAACTGAGGTCATCCAGACAAAGTTAACTATGGGCAGTGATGCCTGAAACGACCATTATCCCCATTCCACGTTAATCAATAAAGAACACGTGCACACACCGTATTGAGAAGAACCTGGGCAGCTTCGAGAGTAGGAGTATCCACAAGACACCGCAGCATCTTCCTGATGGCCACAATAGTTTATGCCCCAGCCATTGTAGTTGCAATTTGCAATGGAATACTCCGAGCCGTTGCATTTAAGATCTAGCCATATTGGTCCACTGCCAGCACCATAGCAAGCTTGACTGTACGAACGCGCATACCGATCGCTGCAAAGTTAAAATTACACATATGATATAAAAAGTTACAGTTGCAGTATGTACAGTATTATATCCGCTATAAACGTGTGTACATATGTGGACTACATGTTAAGAGCGCAATTTCTTTGATGCAGGAACAATCTCTCATAGTAAGTATACAATCTATCCACATGTGTGGCATTAGGAAGTACCATCCCCAGTTACCACATAGCTAACAACAGGTCCCATTTCCATCCAGGGCCGTAGCCTCCGGGGGGGCAGGGGGGCAGCTGCACCCCCCCCCCCCCCGGAAATTGGGGGTGCAAAAAAAAAA